ATGTAAGATACTTCACCGGAAATACACTGTTGACAATAGAAAGATCAGCACTCATTCACTGAAGCTCAACGTAATAAATCTACTTTGTATTTGTTTGCAAGTGATGCAAAGTAACTTTCCGTCATGAAATAAATCGAAGTGTAAGACACTACTTGCGTTGGACTATTTTTAGAATAGAAGTTGAATTTTAAATAATTTTTCGTTTCTCAAAAAAAACTCATTCAGAAGAAGTTCCTTCTATCAACTTGTTTTCCGTCAAACACTTCAAGAATTTTTTATTTCTATTTAATTTCATAGAGCATTGATTACTCTATCTAACAGCATAGTTTTCTTTTGATTTATTTGATATCTTGACGAGAAAAATAATGTTACATAAAATAAAGTATGAAGCTATTGCGAATAGTAGGAGAAAAATAGATTTTACTGCTGGGATTTTAGACATCTTATTTATCAATAAAATGAAAAATACACCAATGAATACAAAAATTGTTGCTCTATTTAATCATATATTAATAGGCAAAGATTGTGATAATTAGATCAAAATAAATACATAAATTTTTCTGCAAATTTCTGCTATCAATTCATTCTCTATCAAACTAGATAAGAGTTTAGAATGTTTCTCTCTCTGGAATACATGATAATTACATCAATTGTTTGAGGAAAAATCAAGACAGTATACAGAGAAAAAAAGATGTTTTTCCTTCATTTCTCAAAATTCATCTAGTTTCTTATAAAGATATAAAACAAATAAAGCTCGTCGGCAGGACTGGCTTAACCTTCGACTGAATTCAATCTTGTTATCATTTTCTGAGCTCTGCTTTAACAATTATTGTGCAACACATGCACAGACAAAAATCTGTCTATAGTATTGTCGGGAATGACTATTTTTTAAAAGATTTGGACCTTTCTATTTTCTATTCTGAATTTCTAAGATTTACTTAATCAAACAGATCGCAAGCGATTGTCATGATTGAATAAAACCCATGCCCTAATTTTCTTACAACGTAGTCCGAATATGTTTGTTCTTCCTCTTAAATTTTCCCTTTTCTCTATAACAATTGTATTTCTGCATCCTACTTACAAGTGCTAAGTGTCGAAAACAATTCACCGACGATCTTTTGATCGATGTTTCTTTCACTCCGATGTTTTTTTGATCCTGCCACAAACAGACAGACAGACAAACTCTTCACATCAGCCTCCCTACAATCGAGGAAACAAAAAATATATACGTTTACACAGCATAGCTTTTAAACTAATACAACTGATCATCGTGTTGGTTTACTCGATAACCTGAAACAAAAACCATAAACAAGCAACGATTTGAACTTGAATGACGTTGAAAAATGCTTGCCAAAAAATAAGGCATCGATTATGTGAACCGTGATTAGCTCTATTCTGAAGTAAGAAGGATTATTTAGTGCACTCAATGGTAGATTGTTGAGTGAATTCATATCCCGCATTGTGTTCCTAGAATTCACTAATCTTGAGAAATGATTGATGGGCCTGAGTTCTCCACTCTCAAGCACGTTAAGTCACACTTTATGAAAAATCATAATTTTCTTAAAAAATCTATTTGAAAATTTTCAAAAACCAATGGTAACAATCGATTCCTCGACTCCGAAAACCTTTGGTCAAGCTTTACAGGAGTAGATGTAGAAAAGAACTGAGCATTAATCTTTCAGACGATGTTTTTTGGACCTTGATACATACACACATACCGTTGAATAGAGTAATCAATGCTCTATCAAATCATATAGAAACAAAAAATTGCTGAAATTTTAAAGGAATACAGAAAACTGATGAGCAGAAAAAGAGGAACAAGAAAGACTTGTCATTCGAAAGAACACTTCAAGCTCTACAAAAATGACTGTTTATTGTCTTTTCTTCTTTTTTTTCATGCTTGCAAAATTTTGTTTTCTTTACACATATGAACTCGTATTTAATAGAGCGCTTTTACTTGTTTTTTGAACATTCCATATCACGTCACAATGAGTTTCAGTAGAACATGGAAATTTCCTTAGAATTTTGAAAGCTTAACATTTGAGATATTAGAAACAATTGTCGACTTGAATGAAATTCTTACAAAGTCCTTTTTTTAAAGACTAAATTACGGAAAGTACTTTCTCGTGTATGAGACACAAAGATCTCTGCGACAATGACGATTCATTTTCTTTTCCTTTGTTCATTGTAGTTATTCCCAATATTTCGATCGACGCTCGATGGTCACAGAATGGGAAGACCGTTGCGGGAGGTAATGGATTCGGAAATGCCACAAATCAACTCTGCTTGCCTCACGGTCTCTTCGTTGATGACGATCAAACGATGATCATTGCTGAGTACTCGAATGATTGTATCGTCCAATGGAAGATGGGTGATACGAATGGACAAGTTGTAGCTGGTGGTCAGGGCAAAGGAAATCGATTGGATCAATTGAATTGCCCAACCGATGTGCTAATCGAGAAAGAGACTGATAGTCTCATTATCTGCGATTGGAGAAATCGACGAGTTGTACGATGGTCTCGTCGTAGTGGCACAAGTCAAGGAGAAATCCTCATTGATAACATCGCTTGTTATGGATTGTTCATGGATGATGAGAGATATCTCTACGTCTCTGACTACAAACAACATGAAGTAAGACGATATCAAATAGGAGACAATTGTTTCTAATATCTCAAATGTTAAGCTTTCAAAATTCTAAGGAAATTTCCATGTTCTACTGAAATCCATTGTGACGTGATATGGAATGTTCAAAAAACAAGTAAAAGCGCTCTATTAAATACGAGTTCATATGTGTAAAGAAAACAAAATTTTGCAAGCATGAAAANTTCTCAAAATCTTCGTATTTCCGAGTACTAACTATAACTGCTCGATGTCGAAAACAATTGACCATCGACTTAACATAGAATCATATGAAATAAAATAAGTTTCTATATGCCAGGGTGAAAAAAGTGTGCTCCACATATAAATCCAAATTTCGCGCTGACTTACGCATCCACCTTTTACAGATAAACTGCACTCCACGTTTAATGACTCACACCAGTAAGATCGCATCTCACTGAGATACTAAGTCGTGACTTATATCTAATCTTCAAAAGGTACATTACCAGGGATCCCAGCGGCATCAACTCATACGCTAGTAGCATTACCTAGGATCCTACTACTATTACCAGCAATCCTAGAGGCATTACCCCGGTTGCTGTTACCATCAGCTACGATGCTAGTAGAATCGCCAAGGAATCTAGTAAGATTACCTGGGACGCTGGTACCCATACCTAGGATAGTAGTAGTCTCCCAGTTGATGACGCTAGCATGGCAGCTGAAGCCATTAGTCTTCCAGGGATGCTAATAGCCTTTCAACTGAAGCTACTGGCGCTACACATGAAGCTATGAACCTTCTATGTGATACTACTAGCATTCCAAGTGATCGCACCAGCTTTTCAGGTGTTACTGCTAGCATACTAGGCTATGGTACCAGCCTTCCTGATGACGCTACTAGCATCCCAACTTATCCAGCTACCAACCAAACTCGTGCCACTAGCATCCCAATTTATACTACTACCAACCCAACTCATGCTTGTGACATCCCAACCGATGCTACTAGCATCCCAACATATCCCGCTAGCATCCCAACTTATTCTACTAGATGCTCAACTTATCGTATTAGCATCGTAAACCATGCCATTAACATCCTAACTGATTCTACTAGCATCCCAACCTATCCTACTAGGATCCCAACTAATTTTAGTAGCATCCGCACTGATGCTAGAAGCATTCCAAGTGATTCTACTAGCATTCCAACTGATGCTACTATCAACCGAATGCAAGCCACTAACACCCCACCTTACGCTACAAGCATCCCAACTTATCCTACTAGCATCTCAACTGAAGACACGAGCACCTCAGGTGACGCTACTAGCATCCCAACTTATCCAACTACCATTGCAAGTGCTGCTACTAGCATCCCAGGTCATACCACTTGCTTTCCAACTGATAGTACTAGCATCCCAGGTCATACCACTTGCTTTCTAACTGATAGTACTAGCATCTCAGGTGATACTACTAGCATCCTAACTTATGCTACTGGCAGACCGAGCCTTTCCTAATAGTACCGCAACTGATTCTAGTAGCATCCCCCTTATGCTAGTAGTGTCCCAAGTGATTCTCCTAGGATTGCAACCGATGGTACTAGCATCCCACTTATCCCGTCAGCATCACAATTGATGGTACTAGCATCCCAACTGATCTCGTTAGCATCCGAGCCGATGATTGTAGGGACCCAACTCATGCTACTTGGATCCGAGCTTATTCCACTAGCATTGCAACTTATCATATGAGTATCCCAACTTATACCGCTACCGTCCCAAGTAATGCTACTAGAATTTCAGGAGGTTCCTTAAATGACCTCCAGTTTGTAGTTTGCTTTGTTTGGAACTCACTTTTTTAGACTTGAAAGAAAACCAATTTCAGGAAAACAATTTCCGAAAAACAATGGTGAAAATCGATTCCTGGTCCACCAAAACAGTTTGTCAACCTTTCCGGGGGTAGATGTAGAAAAAAACTGAGCATTAATATTTCAGACATTGATTAGAATAATCAATGTTCTATCAAATCATATAGAAATACAAAATTGCTGAAATTTTGAAGGAACATAGAAACCTGATCGGCATGAGAAGAGAAAGAGAGGAACAAGAAAGACTTATTATTCGGAAGAACACTTCAAGCTCTAGAAAAAGACCTAGTCATTATTGTTGTGCCTTTTTTTTTCATGTTTGCAAAATTTTCTGTTTCTTTACACATATGAACTCGTATATCATAGAGAGTTTTTACTTTTGTTTTTGAACACACCATATCACGAGACAATGAGTTTCAGGGGAACATGAAAATCGCCTTAGAATTTTGAAAGCTGTGCATTTCAGATATTAGAAATAATTGTCGACATGAAAGAATTCTTACAAAGTCCTCTTCTTAAAGACTAAGTTACGGAAAGTACTTTCTCGCATATGAAAGACAAAGATCTCTTCGACAATGACGATTCATTTTCTTTCTTCATTGTAGTTATTCCCAATATTCCAATCGATGCTCGATGGTCACAGAATGGAAAGACCATTGCTGGAGGTAATGGATACGGAGATGCCACAAATCAACTCCATTGGCCTTACGGTCTCTTCATTGATGATGATCAAACGATGATCATTGCTGACTACGAGAATGATCGTATCGTTCAATGGAAGATGGGTGATACGAATGGACGAATAGTAGCTGCTGGAAAGGGCGAAGAAAATCAATTGAATCGCCCAATCGATGTGCTAATCGACAAAGAGACTGATAGTCTCATTATCTGCGATGCAGGGAATGGACGAGTTGTACGATGGTCTCGTCGTAGTGGTACAACTCATGGAGAAAGCCTCATTGACAACATCCAGTGTTATGCATTGTTCATGGATGATCAGAGATATCTCTACGTCTCCGACGAAAAAAGAGATGAAGTAAGACGATATCAAATAGGAGACAAGAATGGAATTATCGTGGCTGGTGGAAATGGTAAAGGTGCTGATCTCAATCAACTCAACGATCCGTACTACATCTTTGTCGATCAACAACAGACTGTCTACGTGTCAGACCATAACAATCATCGTGTAATGAAATGGAATAAAGGTGAAAGAGAAGGCATTGTCGTCGCTGGGGGG